ATGAAAGAAAGTCCTCCACGCTTGTGTTACTTTCATCCTTTCTCCAGGTTCATAGGGTTTCCGGAGGCAAGTTATTATGTAAGTGGATGCCACTCCTGCTTCCAAGCTTGTTTTAATTGGGGAGCCCCACCAAACACTGTCCACCATGGGTAACCATTAACGCATTTGACACATCAGTGTTACAGTGTTCAGCTTCACCGCAACAAGAAGTTACCTCTGTACAGCAAGTGGACACACCAGGCCTATAACACCTAGAGGAATGTTTGAACAAAAACAGTGCAAAACAGGCCTGTGGGCCGTGGATTAGAAGTTCCCTTAGGTGTAGAAAATTACTCCATAGGATCTCAAGGCTGTAGCAATTCAGACGCAGGTCACCTGACTTGACATTTGAGGTACATTTGGGTGAGTTCCAGTCATAAACTTCCAATTAGCCACGGAGCACTTAACCATTTGTATCACGAAGGAGAAGTGACTTGTGTGCCTTGAGTCGATTCCAGCTCATAGGGACCCTATACGAAGAGTAGAATTGCTTTATCTGGTTTCTTCGCCTGTGATTTTTATGGGCTTAGATCTCTAGGTCTTTTATCCCTCTCTGGTGGCCGGTCCATATGGAGTTGCTCCTTTAACACAAAGGCAAGCATCTCCTCCCAAGCAATTTGCAGCCTCTGAAAATCTGCTGGAGGGACAGCAATGAGTGAGATGTGATTTGATGTCAATGAATCTGAGTTTTTAAAAGAGTCAAGTACTAAACCATTGTGCTGACAGGGCTCTTTAAAAATGAAAATCTCATGGCCAGATAAGTCAAAGTGAATCACAGTGGATATTCCTAGGGGTTTTCAGGGGCTGTAAGTCTCATGAGAAGATCCTTGAATGGTATTTCTCCCTTACTCCCCTATCATTGAAACATGATGCTCCAATTGAAGGTAAAGTTTCTGTTCTTTTTTCCAAACTCTGGAGAAGGCCTTAGTTCACACAAGCCAAGAGCTCCTGGTTGTGGGGCGGGGCGGAAATAGTCATATTTGCTCAATCTGCTGTGCTCTGGGAAGGGCAGGGGAACTCCCCCAAACTTCCTGCCTCTTCTGCTTATCTAAGGACTTTCCCTCGAATGCAAGTTCAGGCCAAAGAGAAATGATCAAGAGGAATGACATTTATCTTTCAGCTTCTCTTTTCTCTCACCCTCCATCTCTGCAGCGTCCTGCCAGTTGTCTGGCACCATGGTACCCAGGCTTTGCATTCAGAGGTACCTCAGCTGATTATGGGCTGCTATTTACTTGCTGGGTGTTTCCAAACACAACTAAACTGTTGCCAAGAACACAGACACTTGTACAAATGGCCAGAAGAGATTCAATGACTCATTGGGTCTACCATGCTGGGTGGTTCCCTTCAGATGAATCACATGACTCCGCTCCTCTGAAAAATAGACTCAAACCGGCTATACACTACAGGGCCCTATATTCCTTTAGTGAGTGCCAGGCAAAGGAAGTGCAAACAGAGAGCAGTCCGGAGGGGAAGTTCAGTGGTTCCCTGGGAGGACAGTGACACACTGAACCCTACTAGGCGGAACCCAAGAATATCTGTGTCTTCATCCTGCATAAATTCCTCACAGATTCTGAGCTTCGAGAGCCCAGATGAACAGTTGTCCTGACAATCAGAGCCTTTACGGCCTGATGCTTGACTCAACTATGGTTCAAAAGGCTGTCAAGAATAAGAAAGCAAACAAGCATAACTTTTTTGTCCTCCTAAATTTACATTCTAAATCCACAGTTTTCTGATGTTGAGTGGAAAGAAAATGCAGAGGGGAAAGAAAATATAGTTGCCGTGGAGTCAACTCTGACTCAAGACAACCCCATGTGTATCAGCGTACAGCTGTGCAAGGACTGACTGTTCAGAAATAGATTGCCAGGATTTCTTCAGAGGCACCTTCTGATTGAATTTGAGCCTCCAGGCTTTCTGTTAACAGTGAGCCGATTAAGCTATCTGAGCCAGGGACTCCCTGGTGATGTATAAACCCCCCACTCCCTCTCTTTCTGTGGACACCAATGATGATTATGGGAAGCTGTGACATTCCATCAGGGCATTCACTGCTCTCAGAGCCACTCTATATTACTTAAATATCCATATTAGGAATTTATCAAAGAAAGTTACTTAATTTTGAGAATTAGGACTAAGTGGAGAAATTCAAGCTTGATTCTCTCTCTCCCTTCTTACTCAAAGGTTACTCATACTGGAAACATTGTGAATCTTAAGCCAAGCGAATTGTCTCATCAGAGTTATAATTATTGTTGTTATGTGCCATCAAGTCAACTGCGACTCATAGCGACCCTGTGACCAACGGCTCTGAACCTTGCCCTATTCAGAGCCACCCTAACCATTCTGAAATACCTGACCTCATTGTCACAGACACTGTGTTGTTCCATCTCATCCAGGGTCTTCCTTTCCTGCACTGACCCTCTATGTTTTCCAAACATGATATCCTCATGTAAGGTCTGGTCTCTCTTGGAAACATGCCCAAAGTATGTGAGATGGAATTTCAAAATAATGAAATCATAAAGTTAACTAATTAGCATTCTTTTGCATGCAGAGTACTTAATATGATCAGACAGACCAGATGTAAATGTATAAAACAGCATTCAAAAGTACTTAATATCATCAGACAAAATGTAAATATACTTATTTACAACTCTAACTCAGGTAGTTGGTTCCATTGATTTTGAAGGGCAGTGAAAAGTCT